CTTCCCTGACCTTTTAACAGAGGTCTAAGCAATCTTTACATAGACTTAATCTATGCATGGCTCCCTGTTCCAGAAAGTACAGGAAAACTATAGATCTCTCCAATGTATTTACATTTTTTTTCATTGGTACGGACTGCACACTGAGGTTGAGGTGAGTAGTCCGGGAAAATGAAAAAACAAACAAACAGAAATGCTGGGTTGGGAATTAAGGAGTCCAAGTTGCCTGCCTCTTACCTACCCATACATTACTGGGCAAGCCACCCCCACTTCCCTCTTCCTGCTTCTTCATCATAAGAAAGACCATCTATGAGGCCATCACTACAGCTCTAATTACAGTCAACCCTCATGACTTACAGATTTTGATTTCAAATGTATCTGTCCACCAAAATTTATTTGAAAGCCACAAATCAAAATTTGTGGGACACTTGGGAGGCAGTGGCAGGCAGATCTCTGTGAGTTGGCCAGCCTGAGCTTCATAGTGGGACCCTGTCTCAAACACAACAACAACTAAAAAACAACAACATAAAAAAAAATAAAAAAAACCTTGAGGGACTTCTGCGGCTGCTTTTGGACATGTGCAGAGCATGAGGTGCTCATGTCACAGCTGAGGTCCCACAAGGTGACACTTGGATTTCTTCAGTTTGCATACAAGTGCTTTTTCTGTGGCGTTTTTACTGCTGTTTTCACAGTTTTGTTCTTTTTGCTCTTTAAAATTGTCCCGACATGTGCGTGTTTTCTAGTAATTATAAGCACGAAGACTGGGGTGTGCTCACAAGAAACTACATGTGTTAGTAAACTGTGCGAGCTATCGTGCTGCTGGCTGTGAATTCAAAGTGTTTATGAGCCAACGATGCTTATTAATAGGTGTCTTTAAAAAGAAACACAGAGAATAAAGTAATACACTGACCAGCTGGCCAAAATTGGTCAACTGAGGAATGAAAGCCTGTATTTCTTAGGGTTGGCTAATTCACGTTCACAGTGACTTTATAAAAGACAACTACCACAAATAACCAGGTGTGGCTGTACTTGTTTCTTACATATTTTGTTATTAATGCCATCGAGAAAGAGGCTGGGCTGGGTGTGGTGGCAGAGGCAGAGGCAGAAATAGGAAGATCTCTGTGAGATAGAGGCCAGTCTGGTCTATAGCGTGGGGCTACAGGAAAACCCTTTGGGGGGAGGGGGAAGAGGTTGAAAATGATTTATGTGCCGGTGTATAACAAACATCAATGCTAAAGGTCTCATTCATAAAAGCATATGGAGAGATCTATAAATAATGTATTTCTATGGAAACAAATGTGTATTATAGCTAAGGAGCTCAGACCCCTCCCTTTCCCTCTGTAGTGAGACCTTCACAAAGGAAGGATCCAACTTGCTCCTTGCCCCACCACCTCCAGGGGGTATTCTCAGAGTCAGAGCCTTCACTAGCTTGGTGTTGGGCAAGGGGTGTCTGTGGCTCAGGGGGAACCAGTTCACACTTAGTTTAAATGTGGTACCTGTAAGCAGTCAAGGGATGTGCTGACCACCCGGGGGGACTTGGACTGGCAGGCCAGCTCAAATGGAAGGAAATACTTGTCCGCTTCAATGAAGTTTGCCTTTGGTGGAACTGCAGCACCAAGCCTAGGGAAAAGGCAGGAGAGGGTCGAGAGGATGAGAAAAAAAGCTTCTTTCCCTATAGTCCACTCTACTTTCCCATGCTACTTACTACCACATCATTAAAAGTGTGTGCATACTACAACTTGGGGTTACATAATTAAAAATTGAGCACATAAGTCATCAAAGTGCCCTGTGCAAAGAGCAAGAGCTCTGACTTGTGAGCAGAATCACTGGCATCCTGGATCAAACCCTGCTGCAGCTTTGCTGGAGCTGTGTCTAAACCGAGACTGACTCACTACTGTGAGGATCAGGAGTGCCATCCCGGGAGCAAGCTGGCCTGTGCCAAGTATGACGAGGGCTCTGCTTCCCCTCTCAAGAAAAGGTGTAATGGTATCAACTTGCCCTTCTTTAACCTAGCCCCCAAGTATACAAGCACTGAGTCCTGCTGTAGGAGTGTCCCTGTTCCTTCAAAAATAAAAGGAAACTCTCACTCTCATGGAAGAGGTCCCATGGCCGCCACCTGCCCTTCCATGCTGTACTTCAGCAAAGAGAAAGTGCCATTGCTTACCTCTGCTTGTCTATTTCTGCTTTAATTTCATCTGGTAGGGAAGAAGAAAAAGCACATTAGGAGCATGCAGCACTTAAGGAAAAGTTTGCTACCAGGTATTTGAAAGGCATTAAAAAATGTTTACAGGGGCTGGAGAGATGGCTCAGCAGCTGGGAGCACTTACTAGCTGTTCTTGCAGGGGATCTGGGTTTGGTTCCCAGCACCCACATGGAGGCTAACAACCATCCATAACTCCACTTCTAGGAGATCCAACACCCTCTTCTGACCTCCACTGAGCACTGCACAACACGGGTGCACTTACACACATGCAAGCAAACACACATAAAATTTAAAAAAATATTTTTTTAATGTTTATGATGGATGGAGCGATGGCTCAGCAGTTAAGAGCACTGGCTGATCTTGCAGAGAACCTGGGTTCTAATTCCAGCACCCACAGGGCAGCTAACAACCATATGTAACTCCAGTTCCGGGGGACCTGACACACTTTTCTGGCCTCTGTGAGCATTATACAACATGGGTACCCTTGCATACATGCAGGCATTAAAAAAAAAAGTGATTTTTTTCAAACTTTTTTATTATTTTAATTATACGAATACATGTGTGTTTGTGTACCAGAGTACAAGTGCTCAAGGAGGCCACTGGATGTTGGGTGCTGGGAACCAAACTCAGGTCCTCTGCAAGAGCAGTATGTGCTCTTAACTGCTGAGCCATCTCACCAGCCTGATACTGAATTTTTTATATGGAGTGAAACAAGAAACTAGTAATCACAGCTGGTCTACAGTAGCTACTGTTAGGTATGAATGTTAAGTTCATGCTTTAGCTCATTTTATACTCCTGAGGACCCTTTCAGTAGTTACAATTATTGTCTCCTCCATATTTATAGGAGGTGCTATGGACATTTGGAGGCAGACAGGTCTTTATTCTGGGGCTATCTTATGCATGCCCCCACCCAGGAGAGCTAGTAGTAGCACACCTATCCCCTGTAGTGCTATGTTGTGTTTTGTGATAAGGTCTGCCTATGTAGCCCAGGCTGATTTGCAACTCATGATTCATCTGCCTCAGTCTCTCAGGAGCTGCTGGCACGTGCCACCATATGCCCCTATAGTCTTGAATACCAACTGTTTCCTAACCAAACTCCCTCTAATGAAAATGAATGACTTCAATGTAGACAAAGAATAGGTCATTTGCCCATGCTACTAGTAACTGGAGAGCCAGAATTTAAACTCAGGCATTTTGACCCTGTAGTCTAAGCTCTACCTTCTTCCCTACATGACAGGTATATATTAGGCTACTTAACTCACTACACCTCAACTATGCAAAAGCATGCACTGGAAATTGGAAATGGACAAAAGAAAATGTCAAAGAGGCCGGGCATGATGGCACACTCCTTTAATCCCAGCACTTGGGAGGTAGAGACAGGTGGATCTCTGTGAATCCAAGGCCAACCTGGTCATCATAGTGAGTTCCAGGCCACCTGGGGCTACTGAGAGACCCTGTCTCAAACGGACCAAAAAAAAAAAAAAGAAAAAGAAAAAGGAAGAAAACAGAATGTCAAACAAATACAGTAAAATATTCGAAGTTATCCAAGTAGCGGGGTGGTGATTTTTGTTCTCATTAAAACTACACTTTTTAACTTATTTGTGTATATGTGCGTGTGTGCGTGCGTGTACGTGCGTGCGTGCGTGCGTGTGTGTGTGGTGTACCACAGTGTGCATGGGTCCTGAGATCAAACTCAAATTGTCAGGCTTGGCAGCATATACCTTTACCTGCTGAGCCATCTCACTAGCCAATTCTTTTTTCACATTTTCTATGATAAGCATTTATAGATACTTTCTTTCAGTTAACACTTTTGAGGTTTGTACCACTGACACAACAGAACGCTCTACTTAATCATGAATCCACCCCCCCCAATCTACATATACACTCCTATATGTTGGACCCCCAGGCCCCAGGTATCAAAGCAGGTAAGGGGAGGGAGGGAGGGAGGAAGGGAGGGAGGTGTGTGTGCCAAAGCCTTTCTGCAG